ATTATCTCCTTAAAATCATCAACGATGTAATCAATTACTAACGCCTAGCCGACTACTTAGACCACTCTCCCTATGACAATCTACGTGCTTAAACAAGAAAATTTCACACTCCAAGTTCAACATCATTACTTCTCATCATTCCTGTTCTTCAGAACAACCTTGGCCCCGACAAAAGTCAAATGGGGCTACCTACAAGACCTACGAGATCAACCTCGTCCTAATCACTCAAGTACTATCTCCTCATAGCCCAAACGCAACATAAAATTCAACTCCAGTCCACATCTTCCAAGTCCTAGAACACAATCCATTTGATAAGACAACACCTACCATCAATCACTTTAGCCACAAACAACCAAGCACTCCAATGACCCTATACTACCTGCCTTATTATGCAATCCTGCACTACACACCTAAAACTAACCACTATACACTACCTCGAGACTCTCTCGACAACCGTGACAACCTATAACCCCGCTCATCCACCGAACCATGTAATCAACTCACTGAGAGTTAATTACCCGTAACATGCTCCTACAACTATCCAAAATGAGAATTACTCCTTGACAACCCAGTCTCCAAAACAGACCCTTATAAGACACAAAATGTTTCACACCCTGCAACCGGTCCTATATCACCCCAAACTTACAGAATCCAACAAGTACCCACAACAATCAGAACCAACACGCCTCCTCAGACCGTACCAGAAGATACACATCTACATCCCATAAACTATATTCGTGACTCAAACAACCTCCGTCACACTTACCACGACCGGTTCGAAAAAAACCTTCACACCAAACCGTGATCTAAGTTGTAAACACTAACCTCTTAAGGTCATACCGAAACCCTCACTCGCATACTTAACATTCACGGTCACCAGAACCCATACACCAATGCATGATACTCACACACAATAAGGGCATCATGCCATGAAATATGAACTCGCCCTAAAGTCGTGCTCTAAGCACCGCACAAAATGCAACTAAGAAGATCAGGATAACTACACACCAAATAGTTCAATCCACGAGCTAGAAGCCCACGCTATTAGTTCGACAAGAACCGGCACCCAAATAACTGTGGAGCAACCGAGCTCCTCGCCTACTCAAGTCAAAACTTACATAACCCTCAATGCCGTGACAGGTACCCCACTGTACTAGCAACCATCCCAATGCTTAACCATATAACCACATAAGAATATAGACATATACATATATAAAATTAATGAAACCCACAATGCTACACAAAATATGTTTGTATATACCATGTTTATTACTTGTCACATTAGCATTTAAATTAGAACTGCACACACCGTGCCTTTTACTTTTCATCACCATATTTCTCATACACAATCAACGTGTTTTCCTCCTTTTTTCTTTTTTTCACATTTCATTCACACGATTAGATCATCTAACTATTTCTCGTACATGGCCATGTAACATAAACTTTAGTATATAAACATATAAACGTGCAAACACATAGCAAGAAAGCATATCTTTCAAAACCGTAAGCATATAAACATGTAAACAAGTAGACAGTTAAATATACTTTTCAATTAACAAAACACTTTAGCAAATAGCCACATAACTGATACAAATGACTTCCCACATAACCCTAGGTAAGCCTCTACTCGTCGTCCTAATGGTATTCGAATCATTGCTCTGATATCAATTTTGTAACGACTCAAACCCGAGGGTCCGAATCGCTAACCGAGTCCTTAATTACAGGAACCCGAGGTTAACTAAGGGCATTACTGTCATTTCCTATGTCAATCCATAATATGTGTGTCATTCTAGGGTTTATAAGATAATAATAATAATAAATATTAATAAATAAATAAATAATAGTAATAAAATAAGATCATAGCTACAAAGTATGTCAAAAACAGTCTACTAACCCATCGAACCCTGTGGAGGAGCGTCGTCCGCCACTTCCTTTCCGTGTCTTGAAAAATGTTAATAATAAAGGGGTGAGCATAAGCTCAGTATGAAGTGTCTAATACACACCTCTTATGACCCCGTGAATCCACGTATAGAATAGAAAATAAGAGAACGGGATCATACTATACCACAACATCCAATATAAACACAAATGTCAACCAATTCACAAATACACCATGCATACCAATAAAGTGCAATGCCATGCTCATGTCGCTCCTCGTTTCAGAAACATTTCCGGTTCAACTTCTAAACCGTTAGTGTAATTCGACCCAAGGCACCTCCAAGGCGTCACGAGAGAGGGGTTGGCTAGTCTTCTCCGACCACATGGCACCTCCATGGCGTCGTCTGGGTAGCTCAACCACACTAAAGTCTCTCTCTAACCCCCTCTAGATCACACTAACACCACAGACCACTAGGCGCCTCCTAGGCATCCGAGTTTTCGCAACACTTTTCAAAAACATTTTTTCAAAATCATTTTATTTGCTTTCAAAACATTTTTCTCATTTTTCCTTTCCCAATGGATATATGAATGCTTCATGTTTCTAATCATAAATTCAATCATAGAATTTCACACATGCTTTACAAATTAAATCTCTAAAATAGGTAATTCATGCTTCCCTTCATCATTGTTTTAGCATACCAAGCATACAAAGCATAATCCATTTTATATAAGCATGCTATTACACAATTCTATACAATTCATCTATATTTCATTTACATACTTTTGGGAAAATTAAATTAAGAAACTCTCATTTAACAATTTTGACAACATAGTACTAGACGTTCAAGTATTCAAGTGCATATAATCAAAATCAATAACCAATACAAGTAATTTCTATCATTTTCAACACAATATATACCTTGTCATGCTCATTATACATAAAATGTCCATAACCACAAAAAATACTCATAATTTAGTAAACAACTTTTATAAGAAAACTCACAAAAGTCAAAGAAAATTGTGGATTAAAAACCCCTACCTCAAGAATTGCAAAAACCCCCAATTTGCCGAATCCAAACCCTAGAATTCGAAATTCTTAGGGTGCACCAAAACCACCTTTGCTCCGATCAAATCGAAGATTTCGCCGTGATCTCTAATTTGCCACAAATGGCACGTAAAACTCAAAAAATTGAAGGAGAAATTTATGATTGAAATCTTGTAAAAAGAAAAAGGAAAAGAAAAAATGGAGAATAAGAAGGGTGAGCAGGGCCGGCCCTGACCCAAGGCGACCAAGGCGGTCGCCTAGGGCCTCAGATTGTATAGGCCCATGCATAATGGGCCACTAAAAAAAAAAAAAAAATTAACCAAATGCACAACAAATCATTAAGGGCCTCAAAATTTGTAAGCCCATGAATGATGGGCCACTAAAACAAATTGTAACCCAGTAAATCATTTAAGAGGCCTAAATAAAATTAAAAAAATAAAAAATAAAAAACACAAATGGCAACTCTGTGAATGGCCTGGGCAACCTGACGGTCCTCACCTCCAAATCGGCAAATCTTATTCCAAATTCCAATCTCTATTCTCGGAACTTTCTTTCTCAAGAATCTCAAGAGACTCGCGCCTCTCCAAGACAAGACTGCAACTACACCAATGAAATTTTTTTTCCCTCAAAAATCAAAAGTTCAAAACCAGAAAATTGAAAACAATCACAATATCAAATCATCATCGTCTTCACAGTTCATTGTTCACGGCTTCACGCTTCTATTTTTTTTTTTTTTTTGGTTGAAAGTTCACGCTTCTGTTGAATCTGTTCCTCTCTCTCTGTTGATCATCATCATCTTCACAGTTCATTGTTCACGGCTTCACGCTTCTGTTTTTTTTTTTTTTTGTTGAAAGTTCACGCTTCTGTTGAATTTGTTCCTCTCTCTCTGTTGATCATTATCGTCTTCACAGTTCATTGTTCACGGCTTCACGCTTCTGTTTTTTTTTTTTTTTTGTTGAAAGTTCACTGTTCACACTTTCGACTTCTGTTCCCCTCTCTCTGTTGATCAGATTGTTCCAAACTTCCAGTTGGGGACTTCGGGTTCGAAGGTTCGTAACTTGCAAGGATTGTTGTTATTGTTCAAGTTCAACACTTGGACTCTAATTCAAGTAATTCTTAAACCAAAAAATTATTTTAATTTAATTTGTTTTATTCTTCTTTGTGAACTGTGAATTAACTCAATGAATTTGTTGTAATACAGGGGTTCCAATCCAGCAATCCTTCACACTTCACTTGAAGACCATTTAGACATCTCATGAGGTATTTTTGTTTTTCTGTAAATTACATCATTAAGACATCTCATAAGTAATCCTTCACTCGAAGACATTGAGGTAATCCATATTTTCTTAGTAAAGCTATTTTTTTTAGAAGTTTAGTTTTATGTTGATTGTGTTTCCTATTATTTAGATTTCAAGATTTTTGACAATTATGTCTACAAGAAATTTGAATCTGGGTATGAAAAAAAAAAAAAAAAAAAAAAAAAAAAAGGAGAGAAGAAGAATTAATTCAATCTCAAAAAGGTGTTATTCATAAGTTTTTAAGGAACAATGCACAAACTGAGAATTTAGTTGAAGATTTGGTGAATGAAGAACATAGGAATGAAGAAAATCTTAATGAACATGGAGGTTTAATGAATGAAGATATGAATGAGAATCAAAATAAGGAAAATGTGAATGAACTTGAAGATTTGGTAAATGAAGAACATATGAATAATAATGATAATCTTCCTTTAAACATTAATGATCCAGGAAATTGGAAAGATATTGATAAAAAAATGAGAAATTTATTAGTTGAAAGAGGTCCTGCAAGAGATGTTAAACTTGAAAATTTTCCTAAAAATTCAAAAAATAGACATTTCTCTTCTACATATTACATTCGACACTTGTCAAATGGTGAAAAACATGATAGGAAATGGCTAATCTATTTGAGTTCTTTGGACAGAGTCTATTACTTTTGTTGTAAGTTGTTTAAATGTGATGAACAAAAAACTCAATTGGCGAGTGAAGGAGTCAATGACTGGAAAAATATTTGTGACAAACTTAAAAGTCACGAGACTAGTCGTGAACACATTATTAACATGGGGAATTGGATTGAATTAGAAACCAGATTACAAAAAAATGCAACAATCGATAAAAGTGTGGAAGAAAAAATTAACAAAAATAGAGAACATTGGAGGCAAGTATTATTGAGAATAATTTCTGTTGTGAAGACTCTTGCTAAAAATAGTTTGGCATTCCGTGGGGACAATAAGAAGCTTTATGAAGAAAATAATGGAAACTTTTTAAGCATAATTGAAATGATTGCTGAATTTGATCCAATAATGAAAGAGCACATTCGTCGAATTCAAGATAGAAAAATTCATTACCATTATCTTAGTCACAAAATTCAAAATGAATTTATTCTTCGGATATCGAATAAAATCAAATGTGTAATCATTAAAAGGGTTAAAGAAGCAAAATACTTTTCAATTATTCTTGATTGTACTCTGGATGCAAGTCATGAAGAACAAATGTCACTTATATTAAGATGTGTTAATGTTTCAGCAAGTCCGATAAATGTAGAAGAGTTCTTTTTAGGATTTCTAAAGGTGGATGATACATTAGGGCAAGGGCTTTTTGATGAATTTGTAAATGCTTTGAAAGGTCTTAAACTTGATATTAGTGATGTAAGAGGACAAAGGTATGATAACGGTTCTAATATGAAAGGGAAACACAAAGGTGTACAAAAAAGATTACTAGATATAAATCCTAAAGCATGCTACACTCCGTGTGGTTGTCATAGTCTTAATCTTGCACTTTGTGATATGGCAAACTCTTGTTCTAAAGCATCATCTTTTTTCGGAGTTGTGCAACGTATGTATTCATTGTTTTCATCTTCCACAAAACGATGGAAAGTTCTCACAAATAATGTTAAAGGTTTTACACTTAAGCCACCATCACAAACACGTTGGGAAGGTCAACTAGAAAGTGTTAAAGCAATAAGATTTCAAGCTCCAGATATAAGAAATGCTTTAATTCACTTAGCATATACTAGTGAAGATCCTAAAACAAAGAGTGATGCTGAGTGCTTAGCTACATATGAAATTGAGAATTTTGAGTTCTTACTTGGCATGGCTATTTGGTTTGATATATTGAATGCCATTAACAAAGTAAGCAAAATCATGCAAACAGAAGACATGCAAATTGATGTTGCTACAGATCTCTTAAAAGGACTCATTTCATTTTTTTGAAACTTATAGAGAAAATGGATTTAAATCTGCTATGATTGAGGCTAAAGAGATTGCAACTGAAATGGAAGTTGAACCATTATTCCGTGAAAGACATGTCATTCGTAGAAAGAAACAATTTGATGAGAGTGCTAATGAAGAGATGACACAATCGGCCGAAGAATCGTTTAGAGTTAATTACTTTATATACATAGTTAATCAAGCTCTTTCTTCACTAAAGAGTAGATTTGAACAATTTCAACAATATGATGACTCTTTTGGATTTTTGTTTAATTTGGAGAGGTTAAAGTCTGTAAATAATGATAGTTTGAAGTGTTCATGTCATAATCTTGAAAATATTCTAAAACATAAAATGGTTTCTGATATTGATGGGACTGAATTATTTTTAGAGTTACAAGTCTTAAAAGAAGCTTTACCAAAAGAAACAAAAAAGGCAATTGAAGTATTGAATTTTATAAAAAGGCTAGGTTATTGTTTTCCAAATGCTTGGATTGCATATAGAGTATTATTGACTATTCCAGTTACAGTTGCATCTGCTGAGAGAAGCTTTTCAAAGTTGAAATTAATCAAATCTTACCTGCTGTCGACGATGACACAAGAGAGATTGAATGGATTAGCTATGTTGTCTATTGAAAAAGATGTGTTGGAAAAAATTGATTTGAGCAATTTAATTGATAATTTTGCAGCTCAAAATGCAAGACGAGCACATTTACTTTAATGGCGCCTAGGGCCTTTCAAGATTTTTTCAATCTCAGGGCCGGCCCTGGGGGTGAGAGTGAGCTACGGGAGAGAGAAAGGAAGAATGAGACCAAATGGGTCTCTAAGCCACACATATATGTTAGTGGTGGGTCCCACCACCTTTTTAAATAAAATTTTCCTTTTTCCTTTTCTACACCACAATTATATATGTAAAAAAAAAAAAAAAAATCACAAACATTACGGTTACTGTTAGAATAAAATAAGCACTTTTATCACTAAAGCCGTCAAAAAATTGGGTTGGTGAAAAACATGCTAAGTGTTTGGTGACATATTATAATAACTACTTTTTATAATTGAATTATTTTTAAATTTGTTTAATAACAATATTTCTTAAAACACTTGTATTCCTTTAAAACAATACAATGTTATCATATTTGAGAATAGTAATTTTATAAAAGAAGGGGTGGGATTGTCTTTATAAAAAATATAAAAGAATAAAATTGTCGAAGGAAAAGGAAAAATAGCTACATAAAATATACAATCTGTTAGTTTAAAAAGCTTCAAATACTAACTTTATTCTAAAGCTCTATTTAACTAAAATTGGTAACCATTAAAAGCGCTTTTAATGATTACCATACATCTAAACGCATTTTTTTTTCAAATAACAGTATTTTTAAACGGTGGAAAGCAATCCCAAACAAGCTCTAAGAAATCCATTCAAATACTGTAGAGCCCAACAATTTAATGCACCATGATTATTTTTTTTTTTCCCCGCAAATTAGAGGAGGGGAACATAGACACACCTGTTTAGAGAGGTAGAAACTTAATTGACTAATGACCTTATGCTTGATCCAGAAGACCATTATATGTTTAATGTCATAAAAATTCAATTTAGTTTCATAAGAAACTCAATTTTATTACATTAACTCGACCTCTTGTGTGGGCAACATTAACTCTTGCTATTCACTTAATTCATAAAAATTCAAGTACACTGTTTGAGTCACTTGATTAATAGAAAGATTGTATACTTTTCTGAGTCAATCCACCTTCAGAATTATTAAGACAATTATTAGAGCAGTGATAAAGAGTCCAAATTTAGACTCTTCAAACTCGCTAATTTAAAGTTAAATTTTATGATCAAATAATTTTATTTTTAAGAGTAAAATTTGTAAAAATTAATTAACAAACTTTGACAACTAAATTAATATCTTGTATACTAATAAACTATATGTAAATAAAGGAAAAAAAAAAAAAAACTATATGTAAATAAGTATATACTAATAAATTATATGTAAAGAAGTTTATATACTAAATTAATACTCCGAATTTTATATACTAATAAAACTAAATTAATTAAAAAACTTTACATATAAATTTTTTCTCAAGGGCATTCTTATATTTTCATTACCAAAGTTAACAATTTTAACTCTGAAAGGGAGTATCAGTAAATTTGTGAAAATTTTCATATATGGGTAATATAGTTAAACTTCAAAGAAAGTTGGAGCAATTTACCTAAATATTATGTACGGACTTATAAATTTCATTTGGATGTAAACAAAACAAACAAGCTCCCTCTAACAAGAGGACTGTTTGTTTGGGCAGAATTGCAATCCCTTCCGACTTTATTTGCTCACGCCACCGAGTCAAGCTCAGCGACACATCGACCATGCATATCCGAATTTTAAAAATGATTAATTAAATAAATCATTAAACTGCGCAATTAATGGAAACGTATGAAATAAATTCATCTACTTTCTCGTAAAAATCATCTCTAAATTTAAACCGTCAAATGGCTCTCAAATTCTTTTACCATCAAGAACTGAGCTATCGAGCAGATCTTTCTCAATTAATGCGTACTCTTTAAAAAGAACAATATCTTTTTCTTGATTGGTTAAAAGAACAATATCACCACTCTCATATATATATGTATACATATATAATAATGTATATATATGTACTAAGCGGAGAAGGGTGACAACAGTTCTTTTCTCATCGTCAACGAGCTAAAGATTTCAGCACATCAGAATAACGATGTTGCAATATTCACTTCAAAGAGGTAAACAATTTCACACTAAGTCCGATCAATTCAATTTCAAAAAAAGCCCTAATTTGATTCTATATATATATATATATATGATGGGTTACAGTTCGAAGCTTTCGGTCTTTGAGTCCCCAGATCTTTGCTCTGAAAAGTTCTCATCTCTCTACCGCCGCCGAGCCATCTTGGAGGCATCGGAACCCTCTGGTATGATTTATTTGTTTCGAGACGATTTCACTTTTGTTTCGCTTTTCTTGCATTTTCTCACTTTTAGGTTGTAGAGTGGACTGAGGCTTATTTATCTTGTTCTGTTAGAGGGTTCCGAATCTCATTGGAGGTAGCTTTGTTGATTCGCAATCATTTGAATCCATTGATGTTATAAACCCTGTAAGTGCATAAAACGCCTTAGACAACTTGTTTCTTTTCCTTATACTATATAATTTGTCATATTGCGTGTGTTTGATTAACTGAGTGATGATTCGGCAATAGGCAACACAAGAAGTTGTTTGTCAAGTTCCGTTGACTACAAATGAAGAGTTCAAATCTGCAGTTTCTGCAGCCAAACAAGCTTTTCCATCATGGCGGAATACGCCTATTACAACCCGCCAGCGAATTATGTTCAAGCTCCAAGAACTTATTCGGAGAGACATGGTAAGCATGGTGGATTTTCCTACTCCATCACTTTTGCTTCCGCTTATTATTGTTATTAACGGGGCAACTGTAATTTTTGGGTCAGGATAAGCTTGCCATGAACATTACAACTGAACAGGGAAAGACGTTGAAGGATGCACAGGGTGATGTGTTTCGTGGGCTAGGTTAGTCTCTTTATTGCCCGTCATTTCAGAAGATATAGTGATAGTAGAAGGACTTCAAAGTTTTTTTGGTTTTCTCTTGTAGAGGTAGTGGAACATGCTTGTGGAATGGCAACTTTGCAAATGGGAGAATTTGTTCCTAACGTGTCGAATGGAATTGACACTTACAGTATCAGAGAGCCACTTGGTGTCTGTGCTGGGATTTGTCCTTTCAACTTCCCAGCAATGATTCCCTTATGGGTAAAGTTGCTATTCATTCTCCTTTTTAGTTGGTTTTTAGTTTATGGTAATTAAAGCTTCGCTTCTTAGGTAAGAGGTTGCCTCTAAGCTAGCAAGACTTGGGGTCGGAGATAATCTATTTATGGAGGATGGAAATTAAGAATATCACTCGTCATCATATTTACCTTGGTACAAATCGAATGGGGATGACATGAGAAACTCTCGGCAAACTTGCATGGGTCTCTAGTATCATGACTGCCTTAAGCAATCAAATCTGATGCACCAACAAACACCCTCCTCCTAAAAGAGAGAGAGAGAGAGAGAATTGGAGAGACTAAAGGCTACAGAGGGGAACCAAGAGCTTGCCCTTGGTGAAATACAATGTTCCACTTTTTTTGCTTGTATTGTATGGTATGCAGGAAGCCCTTCAGCAAAGAGACTTAATGAACAGCCATATTTGTTAAGCTTCACTTTGTTAACTGTACGAGATATATGCGAGCGAACTGCATATATAACTTGAAAATTGCAACTTACACAGAAAACATCAATATATGTGAAAGATGACATCTGTTGCATCTGACATTTAACATATCCAGAAATGTAGACAATTTACCATAAGAAATTCAAAAGTGCAATTTTCACAATTTGTAAATTATACCCCTTTAAAATTGCAGCTAGCAAAACTCAGGCTCCCTTACCAATTCCTCTTATACCCCCTTTTTTATGTTGTTAATAATTCTGTACTCTTTTTTTTTTTTTTTTTTTTTTTCTTTTTTTCTTGTTTCCCTTGGAGAAAGAGGAGTTGGTGAGTGAGCCTGAGTTTTTCTATCTGCAATTTTAAAGGGGGTATAACTTACAAATTGTGAAAATTGCAGTTTTGAATTTCTTATGGTAAATTTTCTAGATTTCTGGATATGTTACATGTCAAATGCAACAGATGTCCCGTGCATCCCTCACATATATTGATGTTTTCTGTGTAAGTTGCAATTTTCAAGTTATATATGCAGTATGAGCCAGAGAAATGGTAATAATATTTCATAGAGTGAAAGGAACCCACAATTGACAGGAGATGTATTATAATCGTTCTCGATATGTCAGCAAACTCCATAAAAAGGTATCCCCAAAAGGTTTTATTGACTCAATTTCTCCTATGTGGCCTGTCCTGAAATATAATGTATCATTTCCTTCCAAAAAGAATGCATGCGCAAATCCAAGACATTTTATCCTGAATGCCACAAAACTAAGTTCAACCTATGCATAAAGATCTGAATTAGCAACTTTGCTAAGCCCTGTCAACCAAATAAGATCTTATCAGGGAGTAGGCAGGGGAGCCTTGACAGGGAAAGTAGATCAACCATCTCTTTTGCTGCTTTGCACATGAAGCAATGAAAAGAGAGATATGCTTGTACTCGATTTTTACATGTCAATGATTGAACCTGTTGATTCATCATTAAGAACATCCATCCGAATAGAATCTTATTTTCAGAAGGAACCTTGGATGACTGAACTAGCTTAGAGAGCACAGGTGTTCCATTGAATGAGAAAAGGTAAAAAAAGATGATAGAACTGCCTGATGAGTTGAGTCAGCTTACTACAGTAATGTGGTTGAATCATCACATGCATCCAAGTTCTAGTACTATATGTGGTGCTTGATTGAGTTTCCAATTTATATATATATATAAATAAATAATAAAGGAACAAAGAGCAGAAAAAAGTGAATATCTCAAAATTTCAAATGTTTCATCTACTGCAGATGTTTCCAGTTGCAGTTACATGTGGGAATACCTTTATTTTAAAGCCGTCAGAGAAGGATCCAGGTGATTTTTATTGCTTTTGAGTGGTATGATGCTTGAAATCTTAGGGAATTATTTCCCTTTTGAGCCAAGTGATGCATAATATTCTGGAGCAAAGAATTTATCCATCCCCCCATCCTCCTCCTCCTCCTCCTTCTCCTCTTATATGAGCATCAAGTAGGATTTATCCACTAATAATGATGTGGATGGATGGGTCATGAAGCAATTGAATTTGAGAATTGAGGGATTGCAACAAATAATGTGGTTGTTCATACAACAAAATCTGTTTATCCGTCTTAATATTGGTGTTGTCGAAACTTGTCCATTTAGCCTACAGCAATTCCTCATTGCAAGATTGCTTCTAACAAACATTAGGAATGTAGATGCATGGAAATCAGAGAACATGCAATCTCTATCTTGGGTCAGCCTGATTTTGTGTTCAAACTTTTCAAAATGAATTTTTAGAAGATGACCACATTCGTATTTTCTACTTGACTGTTTATGCAACATCCTTGAAGTTTGACTGTTTGTAAAGCTTTTTCTTTAGGCTGATCTTCTGTTTGGAGAGATCCTCTTGAAGGCAGCCAGCCAAAGTCAGTCACTATAAATGGTCATCACCACCCCAATCCTCAATTTTAAATCAGTAAAGCCTCCTCTATACCAAACCCACAGCTGACAAATATGTAGAAAGGTGACCTTATCAGTTCGAGTAATTAAACCCTCATTGTAACCTAGGTGCTGGATTGTTTTGTTTAATATGTACTGAGCCAGAGGTCAAGCAAGCTTTGAAAGATTGGTGGACACAAAATATCCAGTTTAAGTAGAGTTCCTTCAATGAATTGTGTCAAGACAGTGAAAGCTAGTTAAGAATGGAACAGTCTCTTTCTTCAATGAGACGGGAATAGGTTGGGAATTCAGTATCCGGTGGAGCAGCCTTATCCTGTTCCAGGCCCACCTGATTTTTCACTGATTTATCTAAGACAGAATGGGTATTCCTAGTAAAAAATCATGTACCAATTGCGGATCTGAAAGATGGAATTAGTTACAGTTTTAGTATTTTTTTCATGGTAAGTTATGCTGTTTCAGTGCTTTGTAGATACACTCTGCAGTTGGACTTGGATTGCACAAACTAACTGTAATTTTAATTATTGAGGAACCTTGAGGAATTTCTCATTCTCAAGTTTGTGAATGAAAACGTTCCCTGGAAACATCAAATGGAAGGTTTATTAAAAATCATTTTTTTCAATTAATCCTTCAGAAAGTCCTCTCAATTCTTAATTATGGGACGCCTTGATATATTCCTTCCAATAATATATCTATCTATATGTTAATTTTCATGTATTCTCATTTAGATGTAGCTTCTTGTTTATGCTATTTGTTAATTGTATCATGTTGTCAAGCATAAATTGTAGGAAATAAATTCTCTTTCTTATGCTTTTAATTCAAACTGATTTGTTTTTTCGGTTTTGTCAGGGGCTTCTATAATACTTGCAGAATTAGCAATGGAGGCTGGTTTACCCAACGGTGTCCTCAATATTGTTCATGGCACCAATGTATGCTTAGACTTGGATAATTGTTTGCAAGCTCTTATTTACTTTATTAATTCCATAACTGTGCAAAACTCCACTCAATTATTAATTTGGGATTTTTTATTGACTTTTACTTATAAACTGCTGAAGGTTTTAAATAATGTCAAGCTAATAAGACATTACACATGCTTCAAGTTTAATGCTCCTTTCTTTACATTTTAACTTAATTTGGGTAAAATGAACTTTGATGATTCAATGCTTGATTTTGTTTAACTTTTTCTTCCGCTCTTTTTTTTTTTTTTTCCCCTTTGGTATGTTTGGGGCAGGATGTTGTTAATGCTATTTGTGATGATGACGATATCAGAGCTATATCCTTTGTTGGTTCAAATATAGTAAGTAATGCTTCCATGGTTTATTCGTATTATATTATCTATGAAACTTTAATCTTTTGTATGCTACCAAATTTGCAAGTAACTGAGTTACTCTGTTGTACAATCCTGTAAGTTTTGAGTTCATTTTGGATTCGCAAGGTAATTCAACTAATTAAAAATAATACAGAGTACTTGATTGCAAATTTAACCTTGTCAAGTGATGCAAATGTCTTTTGCTTGCCCATAAGTTCCCAAGGGTCCATCCCATCACCTTACCTATTCCTCTGGTGAAAACTTAGAGGAGAAACTTCCATATGTGGAGATGCTATGTCTCATACAAGTCAGCTTGGTGCTTGACTCAGATAAATAATTGAGTGACTGATTGGATCCGGTGTGATTGCTGAGCTGTAGGGATGGTAGGAAATGTTTTACAACTTTGTTGAGTTGTAGAGATCATGAACGTGAGATAATAACATGCCCGAGCCATAGATTGGAAAAAATGTGCTGTGCCTGAGATAAAGAATATGGCATTGCACAGGATCTATGGCCCACCATAAGGTCAGTAGCCATGATGCTTTCCAAGCGCTACCATTGATGGGTATTTTACGGTGTCCTGGGTATACCAAGGGCCAATCATCCTGTCGTAATTATCATGGCTAGTCAGAATGTACTCATGACCGTTACCACAGCACAAAATGTATCCTTGTGATGTAGCAGCACACGTACGGCTTCAGATATGGGTAAGTGGGCCACACTTGGGTGGATTAATGAGTCTCATAAGGATAAAACTGGGACCTACTTCTTTCCTTTATTGTCATTCTTTTTATCAACTATTCCTGGGTGATTTGGTTGATCACCAAATCATGGTAATTGTAATCCACTCTATGGTCTTGGAAAGTATATGTACCTCCAATCCACATATGGGTGCCACATGTTCTTCCATAATATAAACACCATCCTTATGGTCCCAACTATTTCCATGATGGCCCCTTTTCTGTGGTTTTGCGTCTTCATCCTTCGTGTCCATTATCCATTCATGGTTTAATTTAAAATTAGGAATATTTGTTTTTGAGTTAGTTGTTTAATCTGATAAGATTAGATAGAACTAAAGGAATAAAGTTATTTTGTTAGCATAGGAGGTTTGGGAAAAGGTATATCAGAGTGAAGCTTTCCAAACTTCCTTATTCTATATAGGCCAAATCATATTAAATGTGAAATTTCATATGGAATTTTCCGGTCTTCAATAATGTGATCAATTGACTTTAGATGATATTGCTACTTGATATTTAAGATGAAATGTATGTATTGCTAGCTTCTATTTGAGAAGCTATACTTCTATGGTGTTTTGTAAACATTATACGTTTTACATGCAATAATCAAATTCATGCAGTGTAACTAATTATGGATTTGGTGTGTTTTTTATTGCTGACTTCTCATTGGAACTTTTAGTCATTTAATATCCAATTATCCTTTTTCTAACATTGTCGAATTCTCATTTGTGCCCCTTGGCCCCCTTCTGTAGGCTGGCAGCCATATATATGCAAGAGGATCAGCTAAAGGGAAACGTGTTCAGGTTTGTGCAGCTGATCAACTCATTACATGCGGAATTTGTTGTAAGATTTATGTTTGCTCTTATAGCTTCCAAAAGGTGAAAGTACAAATTAATTAACTTGCCCATTGATAACTTTCAGTCCAATATGGGAGCCAAAAATCATGGAATAGTAATGCCTGATGCAAGCATAGATGCTACTTTAAATGCTCTTGTTGCAGCTGGGTTTGGTGCTGCAGGACAAAGGTGCATGGCACTCAGCACAGTGGTCTTCGTTGGAGATTCAAAGCTATGGTATTTATGTTTCATTCCCCTTACTTGATTATATTTTCTTGAGTTTAATTGATCCTTCGGTCTTGTCTTCTTCTTGATGATTAACTATTGACTAGACACAGTTGTACCTCCTAAGAACTCTACAAATGAATTTAAAAAAATAAAAAATAAAGAAGAAGAAAAAAAAAAAGGAAGGAGAAAACGATAACAAAAAATACTCAATTTTATGTATTGGCCGCTCCATTCCTTCAAAAGACCTCCAAAAGAATTTCGTTCTTCTTAAACCAACTCCAGAAAAGATGCTAAGGAGCTTCTTTCAAAACCTTCTTAATTACGAAGAGCCCAACACGAACAAACTTGTGCATCACCAGATAAAGTCCAAACAAAGAATACAACAAACTCCTACAAGCAACCAACCTCAGAATGCATCTGGAGACGCTTAACACTTTCCCCATTCTTCTTGCCAAATTATCCCTTGTTCTTTGATAGTTGAAAACTTGAAGCCAGTGAATAGTGATTCTAAAGGAAGTTGTGATTCTAACAGGTTTGACAATGAGTTATCTTAGACGGATTTGGATTGTTGTATGCAGTGCGGGTGTGTATCTAGGTGCTTGGATTTCTCTAAACCTTGTAAATTAAGATATGGGGGCTTGGCTTGAAACGTGTTCAAAAGTAGGGTACTGGTTTTTTTTTCGAAGTTGTCTTGCATATTTAAGTCTGGTTTATGTTATATAATAGTATAATATATGCTATTTGTTTTATTTATGGATATACTTGATTAATTTATTTTTAATGGGTGTGGTGGAAAAAGGACTCTCTCTCTATAAATATATATATACACGTGTGTGTGTGTGTGTGTGATAATGGCAGTATGTGATTCAATTTCCCACCTGTAAACAGTATGAGATTCGAGTTTCTTTTATTTTGCCAATTGAAGATATTTCACTTAAAAGATTCTCAAGAAATAAAAGGGGTGTTACCCAATGTTGGTCCTTGTTGATCAAGTTTTGGAAGGGACAATCTAGGTATGGATCTAACATTTTTGGCATTATTTGCACACAGTTGCCGCCATCATACTCAAACATGTTTTCTCATGTTTGACAGTCTGAGGTTTCGCCTCTACATCAAGCAACTATGCAGTGATTTCTATTCCCTAATAGTTTTTAAAAGGAATTCTTACTTTTAACTGGTAAAAGGTGCTTTGAGTTTGACTATGTATGAGGTAATTTAGTATAATGGGGAATTTTTTTAACCTTTTTAGGGAAGATAAGCTCGTGGAGCGTGCCAAAGCACTTAAAGTAAATGCTGGAACTGATCCTGATGCAGACCTGGGTCCAGTTATAAGCAAACAGGTGCATACATGCTCACAAAAATTCTCAGCATTTCTGTACTACAAATTGTACCATAAAACCTAAACGCTTTCAAATTCTAAATCTTTATCTGATTTTGCGGCTTCTTTTAATGTTGCTTTGAGATTCTTCCTACATGTACAGGCAAAAGAAAGGATTTGCAGATTAATTCAAAGTGGTGTTGAAAGTGGTGCCAAACTATTAGTTGATGGGAGAGATATTGTGGTATTCGTTTATATCTTTCATGTTCTGATTACTTTATTTGTTGCTGGTGTCAGAATCTGTTTGCTTCTTGATACTATGATGATTTGGTTAATACTTTTATTGAGTGTTCACCCATTCTCAATAATTATTTGTTTAGCATGGTAAATTGCAAAGCTTGATGAAACACTGTGATGAATTTGACATAGCAATAAGAAATTTTAATAAAAAGGGGATATTACAAGCATATTTTCTCATATTATGATTGTAAAGAGTTAAACTAGGGTCTCCATCTTCAACATAGTACTCTCTCACATCCACGCATACTCACAAGCACGTCATTAATCCCTATAAACCGGCAAATCAAAACTGAGGCTTTGTATTTCTGCGACATAGAAAAACTAGAAAATGCCCATACGATGGAATTATTCTGCAAGGAGATCTTCTTGGCCTCCGATCCTCCTCTATGTGTGGTTTTAACAACCATCTACTCCAAAAGCTTAAGTTGTTGAGAGGGTGTAACTTAAATACTTAAATCCTTCAACACGCCTCCTCACGTGTGGCCTTCTTTTTGGTCTAACACGTGTTTCAATTTAAAATCAGGGTGATAGTGAGGTTTGAACACATGACCTACCCTGCTCTGATGCCATGTTAACAAACATCTACTCCAAAAGCATAAGTTGTTAAAGAGGGTGCAACTTAAATATTTAAATCCTTCAACACGTGGCAAAAAAGGAAGGATAAAAAGAATGACAAAATAAAACAAATAGATAAACTCTTACTAACTTGGGGCATAAATTTTCTCTAAAAAAAGCAAAGCCTGGCCCTAGATCTACTGGCATTTAGAGTAGTATAGGTGACCTTTGTTTCACTTGTTTTTGGACAGTTAACTGTCAATAGAAACGACTTGTTGCCTGACCAAATTCTGCATGAATTCCCCCCAGTGTGCGTGCGCCTTGACTTAAATTTGTTACTCTGTTAGCCAAACTACATTTAGAGATGCAGATGGACCTCATTAGGCGATCATTGGCGCAATGGCATAAGGCTGCGTACATTTGATCCTCCCTAGACCCCGCAATGGCGGGAGCCTCGTGCCTTGGGTTTGCCTTTTTAGATGGACCTCATTACGAGGACACTGGTAGCGGATGACAGACTGAAATTTGTATGGTTAAGACTTGAGATATATAGTGCAAATGTTTTGTGGAAAATTTGTCACCCAAATTTTTTAGTGCTGCGCTCAAGTTTTTTCAGTGAGATTTCATATGACAACATTTAAGGGTCCCCCCCCCCCCCCCCCCTACTCTCTCAATTTTTCACCCAAGTGTTTAAATATAATTCGTTCTCTTCATGGATGACAAGTAGGTTCCAGGACATGAGCAAGGCAACTTTATTGGTCCTACCATCTTGACTGATGTCACGGCTGATATGGAATGTTACAAGGTATCTAATTTCATGATTTCAGTTCCTTGTGTATATATCAGAAATGTACCTAAAATAATTTATGATTTTTACTCAAAGGAGAGGCTTGAGTTTAGACCTTGGCATAAATTTAATGAGTGGTATCTGGGTTTGTGTAGGAGGAGATCTTTGGCCCGGTTCTTGTTTGCATGCAGGTTTGTCAATATTTCACATTTCGCACTCCTGTTTCTCTTACAATCAGATTGGTTATTGCTTATCATGGGGAATTGTTAAGATATATTTTTATTGTTGCCCCTTATGTTCAGGCTGACAACTTAGAAGAAGCCATAAAGATCGTCAACAGAAACAAGTACGTCAATTATCGTAACTTCTATTTATGACACAAATGTAAGAATTTAAGTATTGCCTTGTCGTATTCAAGCTAATCTCTTTGTACAGATATGGCAATGGAGCTTCTATTTTTACAACATCTGGTGTGGCTGCAAGGAAGTTCCAGACTGAGATTGAAGCTGGACAGGTAAATTAACCCTTAGCTTCATTCAAGAGTGTTTTTTAAAAGCAATTCAACCAGGCCAGTAGACATCAAACCCTGAATGCTTTGAAATTTGTGTTTGCTAATTCTGGGGCCCACATATTTTGGGCTCACTATTGGTCCACATCTTTGTGGAAGTTTATAAAAAGCTAGTTTGATTGGCGGAATTTGAATATATTCTGGAAACTATTAGATGTGCATGTTTTCCATTTTCTCTTTTTTGTTGTTCTTTTAAATCCTAAAAAGCTACCTATAAAGTTTTTAGATTTTCCTTTGCTATATATTTTGCCAAGACAAGGTAGATGATGCTCGTAATAGGATTTGTGAATCAATCTCTAATATGGATTGGTCTGACTCAGGTTGGCATCAATGTTCCTATACCAGTTCCGTTACCCTTTTTCTCATTTACCGGCTCCAAGGCATCTTTTGCAGGCGATCTCAATTTCTATGGTAAAATACAAAATCAAAAGCTTGTTCTTTACTTGTATGTGTGCGCATGTCAGTGGTTACTTGGAGAAGGCAAGATAGGTTTCTAACATTTCTGAACTGGGGGATTTCTTTCGAATTGCAGGCAAGGCTGGAGTAAACTTTTACACCCAGATCAAGACTGTGACTCAGCAATGGAAGGATTTACCTAGTGGTTCTGGGGTATCCTTGGCAATGCCAACTTCTCAAAAGCCATAGATGCAAAATAAATAAATAAAAAATGTGTAATCTTTGTTTTTAGAACTCCAGCAAGATGTGTAAGCTCTTAAATAAAATAACAGTCTTCTACCCATTACATCTAACCACTTATGTTCTCCTTTATGCGCGCGTCTCCCTTTTCTTTTTCTTTTGTTTTATACATCTGGATGTTGAATTAAGTTTTACACTCCAAGGCAAGGTGGGACTGTCGAGGCTTGAGATGCATTGTCATCAATATAATCTATTTAGGCTTCATTTGGTTAGCGTGAAAAGGAAATTCTTCTCTTGTTTGATTACTACGAAGAATGGGGAGAGGGAAAAGGACTCGTGAAAATTCTAATATTCACATTATTTTTTCCAATTCTTACTTTTGGTAATACCTCTTCTTGAGAATTTTTTATTTTTATTTATTTTTATTTATTTTCATTTAAGCATTAGACAGAAAGAGGAAAAAGATATACAAAGGATATGCGGATAGATGTATGTAAAAAGAGAGTTATCTAGGTTATCAGCCTAATCAGATCTCGAAATATGATTCATTGAACAATTAATTGAGGGAGGAAAAGAAGAGCTTAGTCCATGAAAGGTTGTCATGACTATCGTTGTGGGCTTCACAATCGAAACATGCATGATTCAATTAAGTCTATCATGAGGCACTCTCACAGTAATCCTGTGCCCTTTAATTCCCTTATCCAAAGCTAAGAATGTCTTCTTGATGGTTTTTTCCCTTAAAGTCCCTTAATCCAAAGCTAAGAATGTTGTCTTGATGGTATTTTTCATTCAGAAAAAAAGTATCAAGGGCAAAAAAAGTCACGCAATCTTAGGTAAAAATGGTCAAGCATGTCAGACCTGACAACAAAAAAAAATATTGAGTACGTGAGTACCAACACTATAATAAAAATAAAAGGAATGTTACTCACAGTGTCTGATTGGTTGAAAAATTAATTATGATGGTTTCTCTTTCTCACTGTTACTCCCCTCCTTCTCTAGATCCATATTAAAGAGAAAAAAAAAAGTTGTGAATAGATTAGAAACCATACTTCTCTTGTTTCACGTATTAACTAAAACTCAAATTTTATAATATTACTTCAATTAAAACTCAATTTCATAATATTATTTTAATTAAATTATATAAAACCCAATCCATCAAGGTGAAGGCGTGAGTATATATATATATATATATATATAAAAGACAATTGAACAAAAAAAGAAAGTAAAGAATGAAGTGTAGCTATATATATCCAATCAGGAAAGGAAAAAAGACAATAGTTGAAAATAAAGTTAAATATATGTAACAAAAAAAAGAAGGAAGGTTGTTAGGTATATAAAGAAAGAGGAAACAATTTTAAACAGTAATTTGGTTCTAAAAGTTAAAATTTTATATTTCCAATTTCTAAAAAAATAGGAAAGATGTAAAGTTGAAAATAAAGTTAAATATATCATATAAGTAACAAAAGAAAGAAGGTTATTAGGTATATAAAGAAAGAGGAAACAATTTTAAATGGTAACTTGGTCCTAAAAGTTAAAAGTTTATATTTCCAAAAAAATAGGAAAGATGTATTGATTACAACTTCTATATCAGAGGTGCGACTGTGAATGGAGCACTCCTCAAAAAAAATAAACATTCAATTTCTAACATCTTCACTAAAACGTAAAATCAAAAGATTACATCTCCAATTTTATACCTTTTTTTCCCTGGCAAACAAAAATGTGAGAGCCCGCAACCATCTCGTATACCTTAAAACATTCAAATCCATTTTAACCTCAATACCAACCCTGTTCACCACCTGCACAGCCAAAACCCGAGTCAAGTGTTTCCTCCCAACCCTGTTCACCACCTGCACAGCCAAACACTTCTTGAACCCGAGTCAAGTGTTTCCTCCCTTTAAGGTGACAGGCCATATCTATCTTTCCAGAGCACCTTACATTACAGATGCTGCACCATAATTTAGACGGCTGCATCTGAGTATTACCAGCATTCTTTGGATTTCTCTCCTTGTAACTGTCCACTTGACTCCATTTGCGCTTTCCAGGCTCTTGATTGGCTTGATGGGATTTATTTTCTGTGGAAGACCAAGAACCCTTGTTTTTATCCGTTGACTTACTTGCTTTCAGCTCCTCACACTTGGCCCAGTGTCTCCACCCTTGTAGATGGGAATTCAAGTCTTTCTCACTGGTGGTTTTCAACTGACATACAGCACAAGTCCATTCTTTCTGAATATTCTTTGAAGTGGTTACCTCCGGAAGTTTGTTCTCTCTGCCAGCTACTGATGTGGCTGTCGTGTCTTTAACCTCCAGAGTTGCATCTGTTTTCTTCTCGGCATGAGCAAGATTTTGCCCTCCATTCTTCACCTGCATGAACAATTGAAAAAGCGAGATTTACCACATCCACTCACCAGTGTTGCTTGATTTTAGAGCAAAAGAATTCAGAAACAAAGTTGCTAAAAAGAAAGCAGGCGCATTAAATGACATGATGAGTCAAAATGAGTGAAACTGATCCACCAGTGGGGAAAGAGAAACAAGTAGCTCATGTGAGTGAAAAATGAATGAAAACTTAGCAACAGGAGGAAATAAGAAAGTGACATAATTTTTATCCAAAAAATAATTTTTTTGTTATCACAGGTACAGTTCATTGCAAAAAGTGAAGCAGCCTTAAGGTTGTTCTAACAATTGAAGTTGAGAAAAGCTTATCTGACTCTTTCTGACCAAGGCAGGAAAGTCATTAATTCTTATGCATCGACTCATATTGATCAATGATCATAGTGGTATTTATTCTCAAAACTCTCTTTCCTACTTTGCTTCATCTTCTAACCACTGTCTCAGCACACGTATGGTATTTACAAAATTGATGTGGTAAGACTCTTTAAAAATGTGATGAGACATTTTCTCATAATTGTCATCTGATTTTCTTATTTTCTTTTGGTTTTCCAACTCAAATCATGGAAGTTTCCGGCGTTGTTTTTCATAGGCCATATGTGCTAAACACTTTAAATCAAAACCAGAACTGCTAAATCACATTTCCACATATGCTAAACATTTTAAAGGATAACCAGAATTACTAAATCGCATTTCCCCACATTTGAAATGTTGACTTGTAATTAATCCAAAACATGGAACATCTAGGTTCCTGATAAATAAATATGGGTGGGCACGTGTGTGTAATGATACCTTAGTTGCAGCTGCTGCATTTACTTCTGTTTGTTCCACTGCCTTGATATCTTTCTGAACAACAATAGGAACTTTGCCCTTAGAATGCACAGAGAGGATTAATAATATGATGTGTCATTTTCTCATAATGGTCATTTGATAATTTTGATTTTTCTTTATTACCTCTGTTTTGGGTTTCCAAATCAAATCCTGCAAGTTTCCAGTGTTGTTTTTCATGGGCCAAATATGCTGAACATTTTAGAGCGAAACCAGAACTGTTAAATCGCAATTCCTCACATTTGAAATGTTGATTTGCAGTTGTTCCCAAAGCTTGGAACACCTACATTCCAAAAATAAATGCGGGTGTGTGTGCGTGTAATAATACCTTGGCAGCAGCTGCTGCATTTTTCTCTGTTTGGTCCACCGCCTTGATGTCTTTTTGAACAACAATAGGATCTTTGCACTGACGCTGCAGAGCAAGCAAGAGAGAAGAAAGAGATTAAAAATGCTATGTTTCATTTTCTCACAATGGTCATCTTAATTTCTTTATTGCATCCCTTCCCGAGTTTCCAAATCAAATCTTAGAGGTTTCCGGTGTTGTTTTTCATGGGCCAAATATTACTTTTAAATCACATTTCCCCACATTTGAAATGTACATTTGTAATTGTTCCAAAAACTTGGAACACCTAGGTTCCTGAAATGTGTGTGCGCACGCGGGTGCGTGTGAGTGCAATGATACCTTGGCTGCAGCTGCTGCATTTATTTCTGTTTGTTCCACTGCCTTGATATCTTTCTGAACAGTAATAGGAACTTTGCCCTTAGACTGCAGAGAGAGATGGATTAATAATATGATGTGTCATTTTCTCATAATGGTCATTTGATTTTCTTTATTACCTCTGTTTTGGGATTCCAACTCAAATCCTGCAAGTTTCCAGTGTTGTTTTTCATGGGCCAAATATGCTGAACATTTTAGAACGAAACCAGAACTGTTAAATCGCAATTCCTCACATTTGAAATGTTGATTTGCAGTTGTTCCCAAATCTTGTAACACCTACGTTCCAAAAATAAATGCGGGTATGTGTTTGTGTAATAATACCTTGGCTGCAGCTGCTGCATTTTCCTCTGTTTGTTCCACTGCCTTGATGTCTTTTTGAACAACAATAGGATCTTTGCACTTGGGCTGCAGAGCAAGCGAGAGAGAAGAAAAAGATTAAAAATGTTATGTTTCATTTTCTCGCAATGGTTATCTGAATTTCTTTATTGCATCCCTTCCGGGTTTCCAAATCAAATCTTGGAGGTTGCCGGTGTTGATTTTCATGGGCCAAATATAACTTTTAAATCACATTTCCCCACATTTGAAATGTACATTTGTAATTGTTCCCAAACTTGGAACACATAGGTTCCTGAAAAGTGTGCACGCGCATGTAATGATACCTTGGCTGCAGCTGCTGCATTTATTTCTGTTTGTTCCACTGCCTTGATATCTTTCTGAACAACAATAGGACCTTTGCAACTGGACTGCAGAGAGAGAAGAAATATAATGGCTCATCATGGTATTCTATTTTACACAAAATACATCTTTACACTTCAATTAAAAGAACATTATGCAGATTCCATGATTAATTCAGACAATAAGCTTCCAAGTTATTCACATCAGGGAAAGAATTTGTACTAGCTTCATATTGTTCAAGTCCTCCAACAACAAACTACCTCTGTTTAACTCCACTCACTGACTCACACATGGCATCCAATTTTCAAAGGATGTTGACTCACTGAAGTACAAAGGTCACACTGGACTCTTTTCCCTTCCCAACTCAGGTGTGTCTCTCTATAATACATCTAGCAAGATGAACAGATTTATAGCCACCATAATATATTGACAGATTTACAGTTCATTGTCAGGAACCTTACCTCGATTGCTGCAACCACTTCTTTTTTCTCTGTATTTGCAACTGTCTTGATCTCTTCCACATCATAACTAGATTTCACACCTTTTGACTGAAGTATAAATGTGAGAGAATTAAAAAATAATAATAATAAATACAAATGTCTGTGGCACACATGCGGAGATCCCTTTATTACCATATCTCAAATTAATCCAGTTTGATACAAAATTAGAGAAAATCTATCAAGAGAACCCTCTCCTGACAAGAACCATGAGCTCTCATTGCTGCATTGAGAGATTTATTAAAAGATTCGTTTGACTTTCAAAGGTCTCAAAATTTGTTTCAATCAAGTGGTTAATAAAGTCATGGCTTTTGTCATGAGAGGGCTCTCAAATTTGAGAACAAGCCAATGCAATCTGAATTTTCATAGTTGCATGCATGTCCACGTTATTGAAGACTGTGACAAGATAACATGCGCTTATGTTTCAGATATCAAGGTAAATCATCCTGTTAGGTGTGTATTTAGATGACCAATTAGAGATACTAAATCATACTCCCATGAAAAAATTTATTCTATATGGAACATTTGAAAAAACAGTAGGCTTTTAGTACACCACTTATTTAGCCTTCCTATGTGAAGTCTCCTGTAGTTTGAAATATTCCTCATCAGGCAATTTCTTGTCATCCCTATATATGGCCCTCTTTCCATATAAAGGCATACCTTACTTGTGATGAGTTTCTCCAAGGCTTCAGACCCATTCTCTTCAAGATATTTCTCTGCCATAGCTAGAAAATTTTCCCCCTTATGAGATAACTCCTTCAGCTTATTGAATTTGTTGATAACTTCTTCTGGGTTCACAAGACAGTAAGGACGAACAACGCACGCATAAACATGATATGCACCTTCAAAGTGAGGTAGCACCAAAAAGGAGATGGCCATGAGTTTTATGTAAGGCCAGAACGGAAGCCTGACATGAACAAAGAGAAATTTATTGCTAATGAAGAGAAGATCAAGAGAAATCTTGCTTCTTGATAGTTAAAAAAAAAAAAAATTTAAAAATTTAAAAAAAATAAAATAAAAAATTCCAACTATTCCAAAACGATTTAAACTTTGTTAGGAGTTTTAGTTTGTTCAAGATTTGAAAACTTAAAATTAGGATAAAAGAAAGTAAATCCACTTTGTGCATAAATTTTACATACACACGGGTGATTTATTAAACTTTCATTTAATATTTAGAACCAACAGTTGCATATAGCTTTATTCCTGCTCGATGTAGGATGTTCATGAAAATAGATATGTTCATGACAGAAGGTGAAATGAGGATTCAAAAATGAGACCAGCCACTTTGTGCATATAAGTTGGAGGCTAGTCTGTATCTGTTTCTCCTTCAAAGACCTCAATTTGATGAGAGCGACACCGAGTAATGACCTTTCTTATGCAAAGAACAAGCAACTCCAGAGAACATAGTGCCAAGTACTAGAAAAAAAGACTGCACATTAAGAGGTTATACAAAATGGTGCACTTTGAGAGGAGGTGAAATGAAAAAATGCTGCATTTTTTAGGTTGGAAGGAGAAGAGGGGATGTCACTTTCGGGAATGGCGAGAAAATGTTGTGCCATGGAGATGGATAAATGTCATATCTCTTTCCTTTTCTTCTCTTCTACATCTCTCTTTCTCTCTTTTTTCCTTACGTGTGTGTTTGTGGCAGATGGATGGGTGTTTGGGTAGTGCGGCCAAGCAAACATGTTGCCTTAATATGTTGTAGTTTAGGGGATAAAATCTGTAAATGGAAAAAATTGGAGAATTCCTCCCATGTGACAGCCGCTATGATTTATGCATCTGTCACCTTATATGAGATCTAAAGTTAATTTTGAGAAATAATACTGAAAATTCACACCAAATGACATTCACAAAATAATTTTTTTCATAAAACAAAAAAAGTTATATTTGTAATGGAAGCAGCAAAAATTATATAGAAAGAAAAGTGAAAATGCTACATTTTTACGATGGAAAGAAAAAATGCTACAATTTGGGATGAATGCTAAAAATGAAACGTTTAGGTAAAGATGAGCAAAAATGCTGCATTTTAGAGTGAGAGGTGTTGCTCTTGAAAATGTTTAACTGCTTACTGATACATTTGGGATACACTGTAGCTTGCCAATTTAAGTTGGAGTAGGTTGCTCAAATTCTGCTTCAACAATCAACAACTCCAAAAAGAAGTTTAAACTTAACTTGTTTATCATGCAATTAATCTCAAGAAAGCATCTACCAGGAGCAATCTAGATCTAAACTCGCGTACTCTTTCTTTTTGTAGTATTGGTATGTTTATCAGCCAAGTTTCAGCCAAACTCAATAGGTCAGCAAGCTTTAACTCAATTATCTCATAAGAGGTCTTGAGCGAACCTCTAACTTGGCCAGGCTCTAGCTTCTTGGTGTTGGTTCATCTTATAACCCTACATTTTAGTATGTTTCCAAACGGGCCAAACATGTTGTTTTGAGGTGACTGTCAAAAGTGATACATCGTGGGTTAGATGCTAACGGGAAAATTTACAAAATTGGGATTACTTGGTCATAATTTTTGTCTAGAATGTAGTAATGGCATTTTTCAAGTTAAAAGGCACCTTGAAATATGTATATCTGCAAAACTTTCAACTCATGCCCAGAGTTGCATAAAAACACCTATCATACATGTTCATGAGCCTGTAAGGCCCAATCGTGAAAAATTGCTGGCTAAACTGTAAACCACAGTGGAAAATCACAGAGAGCAAAAATGTTGGGAAACAAAAGAATGGGGCCTCCACAAATCAAAGAAAACAAACAAAGTTATATAATATATATGTGTGTGTGTGTGTAGAATGTAATATTAATTAATTACCATTCAATGAGTTTTGAAAGACCAAGCTCGGAGAGAGAAATCAAAGAAAAAAGGATCCAATATGTGATCAACTTCTGCATGTCCGAGTTTGACTTGACCTCAATAGCTCGAATTGAAGCATATCTGCTCAAGAACAAGTACATACCAATAATCATAACAAACCAATGGTAGCCAAACTATAGAAATTTTATAATTTCCTAAAAGAAGTCATGCAACTTTATTCCTATGCCATCAAATATTTTATATATATAATTGGGAGAGACTTACAGAGGATAGCCCAAAGAAATTAGAGGCCTGCAAGTAAAAAACATAGTAATACATTAAGATTAAATGATCATGTCACACACACTATGTAATATCGTGAACTTGAAATGAAATAAAGAGAGGTCACAGAGCATCCAATATGAAATTTTGGGTCTTCTGAAGGAATATGGAAATAGATAAACAAAAGCAAAATTAATTTGTTTGTAGGATAAAAAAAATTCACAATTTTGTGGTGAGAAAGTGAATACAATACCAAGCAAGAACATCAAAGGACGTCGATGCAAATCCTAGAAAACCCATCTCTGATTCCAATCTGATCTTTTTCTGGGCCTTCTCAGATTAAAACGTTCAGATTTTTTTAGCAATAGTATGTAGTAACTTAAGAGAAGACTTGAAATTTAAAAGGACAGAGTACGGACACGGAGAAGAAAGACTTAAGAGTTAAGAGAAGACTTGAAATTGAAAAGGACAGAGTACGGACACGGAGAAGAAAGACCCGTGGTTTTTAGGAAAGAGAAAAGAAATTTACGCAATGAGGAATATGACCCTTGAAATTCCTTAATTTACAAAATAATCACGTTTTGCTCCCTTTGTCATGTTTCTGCTAATATTTATATTTTTTAAATTATTTCAATCCATGTTAATTTTATTTGGTCGGTTGTCTTTCACACTTTTGTATTTTTTTTTTCCTTTCTAAACGTGTTTTATGACCCGTTTTCCATTCTCCCCAATTTTCTTTTTCCGTTCATCTTGGTGTTCGGGCTGTGTGGGTTTGGGTCAAGTGATTATGGACTCATATTTATCGCATGACGAAGTCAAAGTCTCGTATTTTCCAATAAAAAAAAAATAGGGTTGACCCAATTACTGAAGTGAACATGAGTTTCACTATTCATTTCGAACCAAATTACTTTATTGCCCCCATTTCGTTTTTTTTTTACCCCCACAAATCCCAAAAACCCCTTTCTGCCCCCAAACATCCCTAACAATTCTAACCAGCGAACCACAAACCATTCAGGATGTACTGACTGTGAAGGAACGAACGCCGACGGTGAAGAAATGACGCCGAGGAGGTTGATTGCCACAACTAAGAAACTAAAATTTTTTTTTTTTTTTTTTTCTCCAGAACATATATATATATATATATATATATATATATATATATATTGTGAATTCCATCCACGCATCACCGTGAACTCCATCCACGCGCCACCACTTTCCAGAGCATCATCCTTGCACATTCTCTTCATGGCTTTCCACTGATGAGCACTCTGTTGCCGAGGAGGTTGATTGCCACAACTAAGAAACTTATTATTATTATTTTTTATCTAGAACAAAAAAAAATTAGTGAATTCCATCCACGCACCACCGTGAACTCCATCCATGCACACCACTCCCCAGAACACCATCCTCGCACATCCTCTTCATGGCTTCCCACTGATGAGCATACTGCAAAAACAAACTCCCTCGCCGAAAAGTCCCACCGTGAACTCCATCCACGCACCACCACTCTCCACACCTTCTGTCTACATCCTGCGCCCACGCGCCAAGTCTCTGCGAGTAGATCTAATGGGAGTACACATGCTCCACTCGCCAACGCTGGCCACACACTCCGAGCTCCCTTCGCTACTGCTCATTGAACTCGAATCACATCGGCTCAATCTTCTTCGACTATAACTACCAGACGCAATCACGTCGTCCTCTATCTGCGGCGTCGATCTCACTTTCCTGAACCTAAACTCTGTTGCACATCAACTCGGATCGACGTCACCCTCACAGCAATCTCCAGCGGGTCTTTCAGTCTCTGTCGAGACCATCACTCGCCGGTGCCTTCTTCAGTTGCTCACGAACGGCAACAATCGACATAGCACATCAAGCACATCATCTGTCGCCACAGCCTTCATTCCTTTTAGTCTTTGATCCTCCATCATCACTATTGTTCCACCGTTTTGCCACCGGTGTTCGTTCATTCTAGTCTTAGATCTAACGTGCTTCACGCGCACACTCGTGCACGATCCTACGGGTCTGACGCACTTCTCTGGCAATCAACCTCCTCCTTCACCATCAACGTTCGTTCCTTCACCGTCGGGACATCGATCAAATCGTCGTCGGAGACCTCCATGGTTTGTGGTTCGCTGGTTAGAAAGGGAATGTTAGGGATGTTTAGGGAAGAAAGGGGGGTTATGGAATTTGTGTGGATGAATAAAAGAAATAAGGGCACTAAGGTAATTTGGTTAAAAATGAATAGTGAAACTCCATATTCATCTCAGTTATTGGGGTCAATTTCATTTTTTCAAAACTACGAAAGTTTGACTTCATTATACTGTGAATATGAATCCATAAGCGTAAAAATTCATTTATTTAAGGGATAATTTTATAAAAATAGAATTTTGTGGGTCAAAAGATAAAAGAATAGAGTCAAAATTAAATTTTTCAAATTAATGTAATTTTCTCAAAGTATGAGGTGGACATGAAAATTTAATGTATATCATCTTTTTATTTCTAAAATACCCTTCTGTTATGGATCTCTGCCTCTGCATTGCCTGTGCTTGAATGCCTCGAACTTTTTTCTTTTTTTTTTTGGATGAAAGACCCTCTCCCCTCCATGTAGTGGAATAACTTTTAATGGTGACCAAAGGCCCGCAAGACTATAAGTCTCAACTGTTCCCGAGCAAACCCATTTAAAAAATAAATAAATAAATAAATAAACAAACCCTATTTCATCATCAATCTCTCTCACACCCCTAAACCAGCACCTTCTGAATGTGTTCATCTATAATGGCAAAAACAATTCTTTCTTTTTGATTGGTTATCTATTTCTTTCACCCACCAAACTAGCAAACCCATTTAAAAAATAAAAATAAAAATAAAAATAGCAAATCCATTTAATCATTAAAAAAGTGTAAATGACCAGAAGTTTTGGATGAATTTTTCAGGTTTGTTGGTTGTTCGTTTGGGAATAAGGGTTGCCATATATGGGTTTCTCTCTCTAGATATGAGGGATAGTAACAGAATTTCATAACAACAATAGAAGGGTATTTTGGAAATAAATATATAATGTACATTAAATTTCCACGTCCACGTTAGATTTTGAGAAAAATCCATTAATATAGAAATTTTAATTTTGACTCCATTCTTTTGTCATTTGACCTTAAAAACTCCATTTTTATAGAATTATCCTTTTATTTAATCATTGGGGTTTTTTTGTTGCATTTACTTAAAGGTGGGGCTCACTTTTACTTGTTGACCATTATTATATGGCAGAGAGTGTGCTAGATTTGTTTGTGTTAATGTATGGATCATTTTTTGGAATATCTATTTTTTCTCTCTCTAAACTTCATCTTCTTCCATCTCTCTCCAAAATTCCATTAACACTATTTACCTAGAGATTCAAGCTCATTTTTTTCCCTCTTTCTTTAAGACTCTTCACTTAAAATAGAAGGGAAAATGGTTAAGGACACCAAGGGCTTCAAAACCGTTGCTTTTATTTCAAGATTTGGCACTTTGGAGATTTCATGTGAGCTAGGGTGGGATTTAGAGAAATTCATAAGAGGATTTTTCATTCTCCTCGTCATCCTCTTCAATTCCACGACCTTAACTTTGCATTTAGAGCACTTTCATTTTGGTGGGATTTGGGGTTTTCACCCCAAAAGTGAGATAGGGGGTGTGTTGCGTATTTAAATCTATGATTCCTTTTAATTTTTTGGGTTTAGAGTGTGTTGTGCATGCATATATGTGTGTGAGTTGGACTAAAGTGTGTATTTAGTTATGTGTTTATATGATATTATTGTTCTAATGATTCTTTAAATTGAAATTCATGTATAGCATGCTTTATGGATTCATTATTGTGATTATCATTAATAACCAAAGTGTTTACCCTTATGTATGTAAGTTTTACCTTACTTAACTTGTTGTAAATTCATAAAAATGCTTATCTAGCTATTTATTTACCTATCTTATGATATGGTGGTTTTAAAATGCATGCTGATATGAAGTTGTTAAATTGTTGTACTTCAATTATCTGATAACATTTGAATTTCTTCTGATCAAATGAATTATATTTGATGTCATTGCATAAATGAATATGTCATGATAGTATTTGGACCTTAGGGCATGATTCGTGTGGATGGCATAGCTTATTTGCACTTGTAAGGTGCAATGTGGTTATATATTGGTACATGTTATCTTGTGAAATTAGATGATGATTTTGGGAGATACCGGGGATTGTACTTTGAGAATGTGAGGGCTCAGCGCTCGGGGGTGAAACATGAGTTTCCCCATTTTATATTGGTCAATCGATTGGTTTTCGGCAGGTTAATAACGCGAGCACCGTGAAATATAAGTTTCCCCATTTTATATTAGCAAATTGGTTGGTTTCCGGTGGGTTAGTAACCCGAGAACGACCATTTATTTTAGGTGCATAACATGGCTATGTGACCGGGAGTGTGGATGTGTTTTCGAGTTATCCTATTTGTTGATTTCGAATCTTATTTTTATGGAAATGCTTAAGTGGCTATTTATTTACCTCTCTTGTGATATGGTGGTTTTAAAATGCATGCATATATGAAGTTGTCTAGTTGTTATACTTCAATTATGTGATAAAAATGCCTATGTGATAGTATTTTGATTTCTTATGATCAAATGAGTGTATATTTGATGTTATTGCATTAATAAGTATGTCATAATATTATTTGGACCTTATGGCATGATTCATGTGGATAACATCGCTTATGTGCGCTTGTAAGGTGCAATGTGGCTATATATTGGTAAATGTTATCTTGTAAAATTGGATGATGATTTTGAGAGATACTCGGGGGTTGAATTTTGAGAATATGAGGGCTCGAGGCTCACGAGTGAAACATAAGTTTCCCCATTTATATTGTCCAATCGGTTGGTTTCTGGCAGGTTAGTAACCCGAGAACGACCATTTATTTTAGGTGCATAACATGGCTATAAGAAGAAATACAATATAGAAAAAAGATAAGATAATTGTATAAAGGCTTGAATGAGATAAATCATTTATTCACAACTTTAGTATTTATAGATAAAAAGAGCATATGCTCATATTATAAGAAAGGAAATTAAATCAAATCTAAATCAAATCACATCATGTAATTCCCCTAATTTCAAAAGGATAGACCTGGTATTTAATTTATATTTTAATTTATGTTTTAATTAATTTTTTTAATTATTTGACTTACTTGACTTTTTTGTATTATTTGAATTAATTATTTGGTTTCCTTGTTTTCTTTGATTTAATTAATTATTTGAATTATTTACATTAATTGTGATTATTTGAGTTAATTGTTTTAATTATTTATTTGGCTTTAATTTTCATTCAATTGTATTATTTGATTTAATTAGCTGATAGAATTGTTATTAATTAATTGTTTTCATTTTTGAATTTACTTACTTATCGCAAGTTAGGTTTAAATTTACATGGGTAGCCGACGTTGATTATAACCTAGGTTTATTTATGGGCCGAGTTATATCTTTATAGACTTAGGGTTTCTGTAGTGTCTATATATATGTTGTTATACGTTGGTTTAGGGTTACAAATAAAACCCTATGCACCATATTCACGTATACAGTGAGATAGGGAGAAAACAGAGAGAAAGATTTAAGGGAAACATAGAGTGAACTTGGGTGATTAGCAAAGCAGCTCAAGGAGGAAGGAGCGTGGTAGTGTGGAACTACAGTGTAGGACACAAACATATCACACAGAGACGGTGAATTAGAAGTTCAAATCTGAAATTCAAAGGCAAGTCTCTGTTCTTCTCTTTCCCATGAATCTGTGTTCTGTGCATACTTAGTTAAGACTCCAGGGATTAAAACAAGGATAAAACGGACTTAAATAAACTTTATAACAGGTTTTATATGCATGTATGAATTTCGTTTACTCTCGTGA